TCATTGAGCTCGACCGTGCAACACGTTTCCCTCAAAAATTCTTCTGAAGTGGTTGGGTTAGAAGACTATTATGAACGCTTTTGATAAAATAGACTTTGTTCTTCAGTGTTCCAATACGGGTAATTGGTTAATCTAGAAAGGTACAATTAACCCAGTTTTGAGGGAGAGGAAATTTTTCTTTCCTACTCCTGTACTTGTCTGTGGCTAGTAGTCGCAGTGTATTCTAAATTCTGTACTCTGCCGCTTTGCTATGCCCTATAACCCTCAAAACCCTTTTGTGACCCTTTGAGCTTGCGACCCTCCCCATTCCATTGGCTAAGTACGAACCCCTCGCTGTCTCCGGTAGCTGGAGAGTTCACTTTAAGTGGTGGGGGGGGGGGGGAGGGAAAGGCGGCAATGCATTCTAAGGTGACGGTGAGTTGTGACCTACGTCCCCTATGAAATATGCCGCCCCAAACACTCCAGCAGTTTGGAGGTGTGGGGGGGGGGGAGAATCGACTGGAATTTCTTGAACTCCTTCGCACATCCCTCGATTTGAACTAGGCCATTCCAGTGTAAACTAGCTTTTGAACTGTATCCAGTGCTGTTTGCACGCTTCTAGTGATTAGGCTCTTGGAATCCAAACGAAAAACACGCTCATCTCTTTCATTCGCCCTGATTGTAGATGTCTTAGATTTGAAACGTCCTATATGTTCATCTTGTGTATATATCTATTGAAAAAAGAGTAATATATAATGACTGGTTTCTCACGAAATAAAATGTAGGCGGAGCTATCTGGTCGGTGAGGCTCGGAACGGCGCTTCCACAAGCGGACAGCAAAAGGTGGGATCCCCGAATTCTATTTTATCGGTCAACATCGCCTATTCCTCATAGGATTGCGCCGAGCGCCATTTATTATTTTTTGATACGGAGGATTCTCATGATTCCAGGACTAGATTGATGCTCGCAACCATTTCTGAAACCCTATGAGAATCAAGATAACTTGCAGACACGTACTCACAGTCGCAGTCATTAGTAATTGCCTACGCAAACCTAGGTAGTTCTAGATTGATGCTGTGTACCATCTAATGAAGCCTCTTGCGAAGTTTTTCTCCTATTCATTGACACCACGCCTTTGAAAAGTTCATTTGAATCCCGCCAGGTAAGAGGAACTTTATGACGGCATCCTCAGGCCCTCTTACTCATGACAGACCACCAACCTTCTAGTTCACCCTCCTTAATATTTACTATTGATTTCTCTTACCGTAGCAGTTCAGACCATAACGCGCCTACCACCGAACATTAGTCTACTGGTAGGTGCCATCTGTCTCATAGTATTACCCTATGCTATCGAGAAAAAAAAATCCACGAACGACTTGATGTTGAGGTCGCGGCTTTTCAGAGGTGCAGACATGAGTCTAACATCTTAACCACTCGGTCACCCCTGCTCTGAACGACTTGATATTTTAAAAAATTGTGCTAGGAGAATCCTGGAGGAATCAAATCAACGATTTCCAAAATAAAGGTGACTATGGAAAGTTTCTCCGGTTTTAATTAAGGGGTCCTCATCATTAAAAATTAATTGGTGACAAAAACGCTATAACTTAATTTCCTCTGTGATGAACTAATCTGCAAATTCCTAAGCTCGAATTTTCGGCTTGTGTCAAGCACAACAACTGAGGGAATACAAGTATGTAAGTGTAGCAGCGCTAGGGTCCTCTGTTCCATTCTCGCAGGCATAAGCTCTCGTTCATTTGCTCCACCTATCCATGCACTCCACGACATGTCTAGCCTCATTTGCAAATGACAGCAGTATAAGTTTTCAACTAAACGTCGCCCTTCCCGTTATGTGGTCATGTTCTCTAAAATTCATTACCATTTCCAGATCGTTGGAAAATTAAGTTTTTCTCTAATCTTTTAGTGCTCGCTGACGTCAATGGTTATCGAGTAGTATTAGAACTTTGATGTAAATTGGCAGATGCGTGAATTTTCTCGAGATTGCTGCATTAGGCTGTCTTGTAAGTAATGTCGCTTTACTTCAGATGGAAATTTCTCCTTAGAAATTCCATGTTTTTGCGAAATATTATGTACCAAAGAAGGAAAGATTTGGAGGAGAGGGGTCTACTCAACGGAACTTTTTATTCTTTTCTACAACCATCGTGAACGTGTTCAGTCTTGCGAAGTGGGAATTACAGTCAACAAAAATTATCCAAACCGGCAACTAGCATCTCTAACCTCCAACTCTTCTCAAAATTCCCCTATAGTTTGTTCTAAAGTCATGCCGCTTTCTTTCAAACTTTAATTGTTTTTGCCAGAATCATGGTTGACCACTATGAGTATTTGAAGTTTTGTTTTTGAAAGTATAAAAACGTATAATAACGTATAAAAACTATAGAGTGTTTGAAAAAAGTCGTGCCTATTTCTGAAGTGCTTGAGATTTTACCATCAGGAGAGTTTTTGCAATGGTGTTTCAGTGGACACTGGGCACTTATGACGCAAGCCTGGAAGTTCGACTCAATTCACAGCGAAAATAAAAAATGAAACACATGGATGATTAGAACAGGAAAAAGCTCATGAGTTTCATATAACTGGCTGTAAAAGGACGATAGCATGGGAAAAATTATACTTAAAAGAGCGGTTTTCTTAGCAGAAAACCGAAAAAAAACCGCATTCGGAAGGAAAAACGATAAGGCTTCTTGGGCAATCTAGTAGCGGAGTGCTTATGGGATATCATAACAAACTACATGATACTTTACTGATCGACTCTCTTAATGGAAACAGAGTTAGAGCTATCGGCCTTTTTGGCTAATTTTCGTTCACCTTCCAACTCGTGAGCCTGGAATTCAGCAAAGCATATCGGCTGAAGATGGGACATTTTTTTGCGAAGCAAGTTATCTTTTGAATGATCTATAACATCATGCAAAACATGGAAGATCGCAGGAGAAATTTCCATCTGAAGATAACTGACGTTACGGCGAAAGTTTCGAGGGAGGGGCCATCCATTGTGCTCTCCAATAATATGGATAAGGAAAAGAGTTTTCATGACACGTAATCGATTCATTTGAAATTACTTCTGATAAGGACCGGTGTAGTGTGGAAGTACTCCTAAGGTGCTTTCAGATTTCGGCCTGCTGTGGTCCAAGGAAATGGTCCTGAACTAGGGTATGGACATCCTTTCCTAGGCGCAAGGGTGTAGGAGCCCAGGGTGGACGATCACATACCATAAATTGCCTAGGATGTGAGCAGGATGTGCGTATGTAGGGCATACACCGGTCCTTATCAAAAGTGCACTTGAAATGAGTCGTTTACCTATTATCTTATCCATAGGGTTAAAGTCCAAAGGAGTGCTCTGGTACTACGGATAAGATAACATGGAGTCCCCCCCCCCCACCTTCAGAACTGGAGTTTCATAGTTTCATCTTACGTACATTCGAACAACCTAACAATCCCTACTTCCTCATGCTGGGCATATTGAGGGCTTTCAAAACGAATACATTCCATAAGGCCGTGCCAGCTGATTTTCTCCCCGCCTACTGTTCCACCACTGTATCGCAGATGTTACGAGCACAAAGAAGCACTAGAAAAAATATTTTCAGTGCATATAATCAAATTCTGACGTATGCATATCAAAATTTGTTGTGTTAGTAGACGTTCATAAGCATTCACCTGTTTGTCTACTGTTAAGTAATCATTCATTACCTACCTTTGCTTGTGTGTTGGTTCAGTCTATAATTTCATCAAAATTGTACATAAGGAGCGTATACACAGCTGCAAGTGGACATCTAGTAACCACATTACTTCGGACAGGTTACTCTAACATTTTTGCATGTCATATGGGCTCAATAGGATCCAAACACGCGATTATTTCTCTAATCATGCGTATGCTTTCGTTAAAAGCTTTTTCCATGAAAAACAATGGCATGCCATGGTGGTCTTTGATCGTCAGCATTCCATAAGAGCTTTTCTACTGTAATCATAACTTTTTTCCTTCGACATTACGCCTTATTATTTTTATATAATACTCTATTGTTCCTAAGAACGCATGAAGGAAATGTCAGTGTTTGCCCGCGCTAACTAATCGACACGCGAACTCATTTTGACCGTAATAAAAGCGCTCCTTGAGTGGTGCCATCTTGTTTGTTTCGTATAAAACTCGGCATGATATTTCTACAGTTTCTTCTCTGTAATTCCTCACGATTTTGTTGATGACTGGCTATTTAAAGCCTCAATATCGTGCAGATCGCTGCTTAACGGCACGCTTCGGGATCAGGCTGCTCACCGTTTCATGCCCCATCGCGGTATCGGGATCGCGGTGGACGAGGGTTAATGTCGTGCCTCTTTTGCAGCTTGAAAGTGCGCGACAAAGGCGCTGGAAGCTCGCTCACCCGCAATCCACACCCTAGTCCGCAAGCCCCACCTTCCGCCGTCGCTGCCCGTGGCGCTGCGAGAAAAGCGCGGCCGCACTTGCGGCAGTGTTAGATTGTGACTCAATGTCGCGCATCCTTTTCGTGGTGTGAAGGATCGTTGGACTAATTTCAAAAAGTCCGATAGATTCACGGTTTCTTTTTTATTTTTAACATAGAAAGGAAGGGGATTTTGAAAAAGAAAGGGAAATACACATTACGCCGAAATTCCGTGTCCCTCTCGATTTCTGGCTGGGGCAGCTCTGGCTATCCGTTCGTGAAAACTCATTCACATTGCGCTCTCCTACCTACCAAGGTGGAATGCGGCTGGCAGAGGGGTGATTTGTTGGGGCGTTGCAGAAAATTTCTTTTGATTTCTTTTCCGCTTTCAGATTACTGGGCGCTCGCAACTTCATAACTGAATGCCCCTACTCATTCATTTTATCCCGAAGCTTGCCTTCAAACAAGAGACTTTGGGAACCTCTAGCTAAGAGCACAAACTTTCTTCGACCAGCAACATCTTCAGCGATTCTCGTTTGCTTACAATTTATTCGTGTAATCGTGCCCAGTCCAAAGACGGGCTGATATCCAAAATTGACTTCGTGTGTTTAGATTCAGATGCGGTGATGTCGAACTTCAGCTGTCTTGGCGATCACGTCACCGTCGCGTGCCTTAACCTCGGCGAAGCAATAGCAACGATCGCTAGCATGCTCACCGTAATGCTGGTACGACAATGATCCTAAAATTTCTTCTTCATTTCTGTATCCACTATCCTTTTCCTGCACTATTTCGACCATAGCTATTTCAGATAATTATCCTTGGCAATCTGCTTGTTGTTGTTACCGTATATCGCGACCGTAAGCTTCGCCTACAACGACAAAATTGGTTGATAATTTCGTTGGCGTTGGCTGATCTATTAGTGGGATTGTTGGTGATGCCACTGACGCTCACCTATGAAATCATAGGCGAATGGAAAATGGGTAAGAATTACTTGCTCTCTCAACAGCTACGTTCCCGTAGTCTTTGCAACACCATGAAATTAGACACTGCAGCGTGCAAACAAATTCTAGTAAACCTATTTTAAATTGCTACAGGGATCAAAAATCCAACTCAATTAGAGGTTGATATGGCGTTCCGCTTCCCATGTCCTGATATTGCTGTACGGCTAGGATATGGTAATTTTATTCGTTACCTAGGTGACGAGAAAAGTACAGGCTTACTCATCAAGGGGTCATGCATCAGGGATAAAGGTGGGATAGGGCCTTTTCATGAAGGAGCACTGCAAAAGTAAACACGACGAAAACATTCAAGGTTGACCAGTCCCATCATGGTACATATGTGCTACACGTTTTCCCTTCATCAGGAAGTGTTTAGCCGCTTGCGTGCCACTTGGTTGATATCATGGTTTAGGGATCCTTTTCGGAAAACAAGGAAAGCGTCGAGTGCAGATCCATACACTACAAGTGACGACGGCCAAGAAAAATTGGCTTTTTCTTTCTTTTCTTGGCCGTCGTATCTTGTGGTGTGTGGTCTGCCTCAACGCTCTTCTCGTTTTCCAAAAGAAGAATTGTGCAGTGTACCCTTTCAGACGAAGTCAGCCAAACATGCTGGTATAAAAGGCTGGGCCTGAACGGGATCCAACCCCGAGTTCGACACAACGAACCGTGCGAGTGGTAAGCGGCGCACTTGTCGCTGCACCACTCATGCATCACAGAATCTGTATCACCTGTATCACCTGTCGTCCCGTTGATCATCGAATTGCTCGAGCGGGCGCCAGCAACGTCTCCATTCGTCCCTGTCGCGTGCAAGAGTTGTCCAGTGGACCTCCTCGCTCGAGGGACACGAAGTCCTTCATTCCTTTCGTTCAGAGCTTTCGTGAAGAAGTCTGACCATCGGGCCGGCGGTCGTCCAGGTGTTCGTTTGACGTCCCGAGGGATCCAGTCGGTAACCGCTCTGGTCCAACGGTCATCGCAAATCGCATGACGTGTCCGGCCCACCTTATCTTCGATTCCTTGGCGAGAACGGCAGCGGAGTACAAATCTTTGATGCATACATAGGTTTGCGGATTCGAAAAAGTGGGCGCGACCGGAAGTTCTGTATTGCTGAGAAAAGGGCACAAAATTTTTCTCTGCTTCAACAAGACATGTCAGATCAAAGCTACTTGGAGAGAAATATACGTGGAGGAACGTATTTAAAAAGAATGCTTAGGAAAGCAACAGCAAGTGTTTCTTTTCTCAAGAGATAAACAAAAGACTGACTGAATGGCAGCAGATTATTTTGCGCTTGTGTGAGGTTGACCTTGAAACGATTGAGACAGTTCAAGCTAATTTAGCTCTCTGCTCGCTACCACTTCGCCTCAGCCCTTGGGTTAAACTTTGAAGGAGCTACCACTTACCTACTAGAAAACATTGATTAAATTCTATCAGCAGAGCTTTGGCATTCATTGAGATGATACTAGCAATGCTCGTATACTGGAAAAGCTTACATTTAGGTAACGTACTTTGTGAAATGTGGTTGGCACTCGACGTGCTTTTTGTCACGGCGTCAATCCTACACATATGTGCAATATCATTGGACCGATACTTCTCGGTGACATCACCGCTTACATATCCTTCAAAACGAACACCAACACGAATGTTCATCTATATAGGTTGGTAAATTTATATTTGATAAAATTAGACGCCTGAAGTAAACATCACTGGCGGGATGATGATCGAATTGTACCAATGTGACATGAGTTGTAGCCTTCAATCGCTGTGAAGTCCTGGCCTTTCCATGGTATTCATTACAAATTCCAGTCGTGTTCGGATGAGTCTGATACAGATGCAACTACCGCTGAGGAAAAGTTGGCACTGGCCCTCTTTCAGTAATCCTCTATCGATGAATCAGTAGTAATCGACACATGATAAGCTCCGGTAACTGTCAGTTAACTTAGTGAATTGAGGGTCAGAAGGTATAGTGGGCTACTGCTGGTACTGTAGCAATCTAAATTTCGAGGGAGGTTTGACGCGCTTCAAGCGCGTAGTCTGTGCTCTAGTAGAATGGAGCGGAGCTAGATCAGCTGTTTCAAAACTTTTTTCAAGACTCTCAGTAACCATCTATCTCATTTGATAGGTGCGTAATGCTACCACACCTCCTATCCCTCAGTACACTAATAGAGCGCGCTGCAGAGTTTCTGCCAATTTTTCTCTGCCACAGAGAATAAACAGATTTGATAAATTAGTCCATTTGTGAGAGGTACCATTCCCTGAGCATTCTTTTGAGATTGGTCTATGTAGATCAAAGATACAGTAGCAAAAAAATATTAGTTGCATAACACAACATATTCTACCTGAGAAATTACGTCTCCCATGACAAATCAAAATCAGTCGCTCCCAAATCCTTGCGATAAATTTGCAAAAGCTTTTTTGAAAGTTTCGGTGAATTTTCTCTAGGAAGGAGCATCAACTGAAATCTCAGGAGCAGATTTCTTTCATTTGTATTTCCGAAGTGTGGCAAACATCGTTGTTTGTCTTCTATTATCTTTGTTTATCTTCGTCCTCACTTATTTATCCTTATTTGGCTGTTGTTGTGAAGAAGCACTCACATGTTAACTATTTGACATTCCTTTGATTATTATTGCATTAAGAACGGCATGTTTTCTTTGAAACTCGTGCAAGTAAGCTCAAAGATAATCCTTGAGGAGAATTTCGCCTGACAGCCCTCATTAATATGCACTTCCGTATCCCGGCGTTCTTTTTTCATTCCTTTTCACCCACATTTCTATGAAGTTTACTTTGTAGAACTTCCGCGCTGTTTTAATCGCATTTTATTTAACATAGGGCAATGCGCTTAATAGAAGTAAGCTAAGCTTCGTTTCTCTTCGTCTTTTGCAAATTACGATGATGTAGATGTAATTGCACATCTGAACTCCCCATAGTACCTATCTCTCACGAGATATGAAGACAGCTGATCTATCGCCTCGACATTTTCAAAGGCAAGCGGCTGTACCTAGGATAGTGGCACATCCCATTATGAATCCATGCCACTTGATACCTTCCTCTTCTAGGATTGAGCCAGTTGCACAGACAAGGCGCGCGGAGAAGGTGCTTGGGTCTTATCATTGAAGTGAATCTGTTAATGCTAGTCATGCGGTGATTTTTACAGTAGAGCGTCTGCAACTTTCTCGTTCTCTGTGCGTTCTCGTTTCTACATCGCCGTGCTCAGGAAAAGGCAGTGAAGCCTAAGTCTCATTTCTTCTACTTACATTTGAAGAAAATCCTCGAACATTAAACGTTACAGCAATGCTGAGATACTTGGAACAAATTAGGAAGCCCCATACTTCCATTATACTATCACAAATCAAAAACGAGCCCAATCCGTGACATTCCAGAGGAAGAAGATCTGGACGGAAATATGGAAATCCTAGAAGCGGAAGTTTTTCAAATCCATGAAACCTCTATAAGCGTAATGAACATTATGTGAAGTTCCATCGCCGCACTCGTGCTCAATCTACATGAAAGGGCTTCGACTTTTTTTTGAAAACTATTGAAACATCTGTAACGGAAGTTACTATTATAGCGATTCTCTGAGATGGCAAAATCTGTTTTGATATCCGAATGCCTAAAGTGCTCAAATGCCTAATGTAGCGATTTCAAATATTGTCCATTTGAGCGCTTTGACGTAAGCAACTATGAAATATTAATCGCAGTTTCGTATTCAACACAGCAAAGCTTTCCCAAGTAGAAAAGATTGATTAATTAACTCTAAACTAACGAACTTGTCACAAGAGCAAAGCGATAGGAACGAAAAACTCCTTGAGAAAGGGGATGTCAATGGGGGAGAAATGGAGGAGTACGTGTTCGTGATGTTCGTGGTGCATGTGGAGTGTTCGTGATTGGTGGCCACGTGCAGTCCACCAATCACGAACACTTGCTGATTCTGATTATTCGCCCACCGACGAATACCTACTATTCTGGAACAGACGAATTTTCATCTTTTTGTCTTGATCCGAACGCTTTTGCTAGACGTAGTTGTCGCCCCTTCCCTCCTGACAAAGTAGATCGTTCCCTACTGACGGTAGCTCTGAAAAAACCTCTTCACCACTGTCTCACACAACCTCATATGGAAACACGACCCTCGAGGACCTAACTGAACCTGACGGGTGTCCCCCAACAGGCCCACCGCGCGGCGAAGGAAGAGACGCAGACGCGGCAAAGGACGAGTCGCAGCGCATACTGTAGCGGTTAGGCGTCAGGTTAAATAGAGTGTACCATACTACGTCTCATATCGCACAGCACGCGCTGCAACTCGTCCTTTGCCGCATCTGCGTCTCTTCTTCGCCGCGCGGTGGGCCTCTTGGGGGACACCCGACCTGAGCACTAAGTTAAAAATAAAAAATAAAGGATAAAGCATTTGCCGTTGATCAATCCCTCGGCACGCATTCTACTTCCATTTGTACATTCGTAGTGGCGTTTGAATGCGATGTGGCCTATACAATGACTTGCGGGGGCCAGATGTACAAGTCAGTGTTTTTATCCTCCCAGACAAGTCTGGTACCAATTAGCCCCAGTATTGATCTCCGGACTGCTCGCGTAGTAAGTGTGCCACTTGCCACTACACCTCTTCCGCCCGTGCACTAAGTTACCGTGACAAATCCTTCCATTGTCGTCCGCATAGAAGGCCACTATGAAGTGTTTTTTCCGATCTAATGGCATGTGCGCTGCAAATTCATTCGGGAATTCGGTTTGCAGTCAGCGAACTGTGATCAATTCCATTTAAATGTGAAGCCAAAAGTTTTTTATTGGCCGCTCCCGCGCGTTTACATAGCGTACTGTCTGTGTGTCTGAACAATGCTTTTCTTTATTATCAAATGACCTGTACTAGCCCGGAGCGCTTATCTGTTCTACGACACTGTAGCTTTTGCTTTTTCAATATTCTAACCGAATTTGGAAAACTCAGAAAATAGAACACCCTCGTCAAAAACCGGCGCTTTTAGACACTGGTACTCATTGATTTCATAAAGGCCCAAATCGTCTGAAACATTTCGGTGTACTTGTGAGGAAACGAAGTTGCTGGAAGGCGATTTCTAAAGTATAAAAGGATGACCTGGGCTTGGACGGCATGACGCTCCAAAAAGTCGTCAACTGCATTCGCTAGAGCTGGAAAATATTGTATGCTGGAAAATTCAGTGAAAAGGCGATGGTAGTTGGAAACTCTCAAACATCATGGTTCCAGCGTGAGTCGAGTGCTGCAATTCGAAAGGCGCAACTTAACGTTACAAACTCGTCCATCAATCCAGTATAAAGTGCATTTTATTAGAATGGCTGTACCCGTTGAAGCAGTATACAGGCAAAATTGTGCAGCAGGCAGCAAAAATTTAACTGAATAGTCAATCATTAAACAGACAGAGGCTACACATTTAATGACAATGCGTCACACAGCCTGAAGGTCCGCTTCAGAGTCCGGCCTTGACCTGGCCGAACAAGATTCCCATCTCTGTGTGGTAGGTCACTTGGTGCCAAACTTGTTTGCTGGAATAAAATTACTGACTTCCTTCTAAGTGTAAATCGCTGCAATCCTATGTAACTCTACTAGTCCTCCACGAAAGTTCCTTTTCCACTGCAGTAGCCATGTTTTTAGATGTATTTGTGGTTGTTTCCACTCAATTTCGCTTTTGACAAGTTTAATTACTAATAGTTTACAACGATCTGATCAAAGTAAGGCCGATGTCAGACTTTGCGAATCGCGCGATTCGCTAGCGTCTGCGGTCGCGTCGCGGCCAGTGAATCACTCAATTGGCTGGTACCGCAACGCGACCGCGGACGCTAGCGAATCGCGCGAATCGCTAGTAGCGAATCGCGCGATTCGCAAAGTCTGACATCGGCCTCAAGCAGTTTACGGTGGCACAGCTTCGTTGGTAATTTGAATTCAAAACAACTATTAATAATCCGCTCATTCCTCATGCTGTAAAATGAATTGAAATAGAATCCATGAAAGCCAAACTCAAATGAAAGTAATGGGACCAACATTTCCAGGCGTTGCTTGGGTGGTATCACTGCTAATCTGTTTGCCGCCGATCTTTGGCTGGAGACCAGAACGACGCCCAGGTGAATGCGCCGTCAGCACAGATGTTGGTAAGGATTTCAATCAATTACCACTGCTTACCATCTATAAAAGCATTATATTCTAGGTTATGTTCTATACTCGTCTTTGGGCTCATTTTATATTCCTGTCATCATACTGGTACTTGTATACGCACGAATCTACAGCATAACTATAAAACATAGTCGTCAGCGTTTGAAGGAAACAGAGCGAAGGGATCAAACTCTGAGTCTACTCACTGCTAAGCCTGGTAGGTGTCATTAGAAGGAATTACCATAGAATTCATTGTTTTTGAAAAATATCAATTCCAGCGAAGAAAGTCGTCGAATTGGAACTAATCGAAGATAATTCAGATGGCGATGAGAAGGAACATAATGCTAATAAGGTAAATTCAATGTTTTCTGGATCGGTCGTTTTGCAGGAAATTTTACACAAGTTGGTCGTTTTTGGAGACTTTTCTAGGGGAAGTAGAGGTCTGTATTTGTCTAGTGGTACGCTCAAAACTTTGTTATCTTTTGCATTTTTTTTTCTAGCGCGGTCAGTAAAGTGCGAAAGATCTTGAAATCATATATCCGATAAAAAACCAATTGTGCAATATACGATGTGCAACGTGGTCCCCCAAAAACCTAGCTTAGTCAGAAAAGTTTGCAGTTTTTTTTTCAAATAGGCTAGTAGCTAAGCTAGAGGTTAGTGAATTTCTTTTCCTTGTCACTATGACTCCTAAATACTACTCCATGTTGATATATATTTGGTTTAATTGTCAAATTTTACGTAGTTTCTGCATGTAAAAATCGAATTCATGTAAAAAAAGCAGCGACTTTACAGAAAGGGTTTGTCCAAACCTAATAGTATGGAATACTGCAGAGTTTTGTTTTACAGCAGTTCAGTCTGAGAGAGCGCGCTATTATCAAGATTTTTTAGCATTATTAGAGTCAAGCAAGCATGAAAGAAGTTTCCGAGCACGATTAGCTTCCTGAGAAAATTGGTTGTTTCAAAACCTCGAGTAAAGGTTGACTCTTCTCTTCCTCCAACCTCTCAGTCAAGAAACAACCTTCTCGAATCTCACTCTCATTCGAATGGAAGCCGTTTGCTGCCAAAAATCGGATGGGATCTGGCGGTATTAGGGAGACGTGCCAATAAGAAGCCGTAGCCACGATTCGAAAGCAGGAACGCCCGTTCGGTCGTCCTCTTCTATTAATGGTAGCCTTACCGAAAAGGAGGGAGTAAAACTTCTGTTTAGCAAAGAGTAGAATCTCTGCTTCCTTGGAAAGGATCCTTGTGAGGTGTTTTGTCAACAAGAACCTCACTCCCGGCATCAGATTCCGACAACTAAAATAGTGGAACTTGTGCCATGAGTAGAATGTATTGCACCATTCGGTGAGGTCCCAGTTTTGACCCAGCGAAATGCGGACCCGCCAAGCACAAGCAAGCGCTGTAAATACGAAGACTTCTTCTGCTATTGTCAAAAAAATTGCTTTCCCACTCAACAGTGGCCAGCAATCCTTCCATCTCGTTGCGCACTTTTTGAACTCGGACAAAATGGCCGTTGTGAAGCAAACGACTCATGTTCTGCCTTATGATTTTGTTGTACACCTTGGGAAAGCAAAACTGAATTCAAGAAAACATCACCAAACTTTTCGGCGCAGCGGGTGCCACTGTTGACGGAACTTTTCTGACGGTTATTCCTTAGATGTCCCACTCCTTCACTGCCCTCACCCTTCTCGGAATATGACGTCATCTTCCATTTACGTTGAGCCGAAGGAGGCCTACCGCCATCGCTCAAGCCTGAAGCTGCTACATAATTTCTTGAATTGATTAGTGGTGGAATAGTTTAAAAGAGACATGATCTCTGATTTGCGGACCCCCTCCCAACCAGCATTCCAGAAAGCGTCATATTTGTCCACGATCCGTAGAGCAACTGGTAAGCCCCGACCCGTGCACTGTGTTCCTGTGGCGAATTCTTGTGATGTCGTTGGTTAAGAGGAAACATTGAAATTTTCTGATAAGTTGGAATGCGCACCTCACTCTCCAGTTCAGATCATTCGGTTTGAGTAGCTGTAGCGACATTATTTGATTTTGTTTCAAATCTGGAGAGAGATGTTTTTTCAATTGCCCATCCCCTCCCCCCGCTATCCCCCTAAAATGTCTTAAAGCGTTGATTTCAAAGCCTGAAAATGATGTTCTAATCAGTTTATTGTCAAAGAAGCCATCAACAAACCATACAGTTGCTTAACAAATTACTATTTCTTCAAGCTTCTTCTAGAATCACTGTGTTGAACCCTTGTGGTCTTGTTTAAGTTTCCAAACATTTGACATTTTAAGAAAAATGTATTTTCTATTGGGTTGTCCCATAATAGTTTAGTTTCAACACTTCGATTTCTTCAAGATTTGTATTTTCTTTTGCTAGGGAACGTATGGATGCATTCCTCCCAGAACGAGTGAAGCTGTGAGATGAAAAGCTCGGAGAGGTCGTTTTTGGGGTGGTTGTATTTACTGACTTTTTCTCTCCTAGCTGCTGCTTCAGGGAGCTGGGGAGGTGATAGTACGATGGAGCAATGTCAGGGCTATACGACAGATGTGGTGTCGTGGTCCAGCCAGTTTCCTCGAAACGTGGCGAGTTATCTTTGCAATGTGAGGCTGGGCGTTCATTTGGAGGAAGGAGATTTTGAGACTTTCAAACCGTTCTCCCGCACTGCTGCGGCCAACTTCGGGAGCTATTCCATGGTTACCTTCGCAATGCTTGTCTGCATAAAGTGAAGTGGTTCTCAAAACGGGATACCCAGCGAATCCAACGAACTGGGGGTAATATCCTCTGATGAAAGAGCTCGGGCTTTGGTTGAGGTCCAGGCTGCGAGGTAGCCACCAGGCGTGCCGCGTGTTGTTATCGTGGTGGACTCATGACTCATCTGCACTGGTGACCAACTAGGGAATGTCCTGTCTATGCGGTCGCAGAATGAAACTTCTGCAGATGGTCAGGCGTGCCTTCTCGGTCATGGTCAGTCGATGCATGCTGTTTCCATCGAGACTTCATTCTGCTACAGCCCATTCCATTCAGGTGTCGACTCATGGAGCGTAGGCTGCGTCCAGATGTTTGCTACAGTTTCCTGCTAATAGTCCGGATGCACTTCCTATTCGTTGCGCAAGGGTCCTCATCGAAAGTGACTGGAGGTCCATGATGAGGTCGAACTTTGCAGCTCCTATCGTATTTGCCGATGCTATTGAGCCAATAGCTCAGTGCCCGATCAGTAGCAAAGACTGGGGCAAACGTAGCGCTGATCTTGCCTACCGCGCTCCTTGCAAGGTTCTTCTTAAAATTGTCGTAAGGCATAATCGTTGGGTTTGGTCGTTGATCTATTTTGATTCCTACTTAATTATCCCGTTGCGCATTTGAGCTTCTGAAACATCCTGGCTGAAGGTCCTGATGTGTTCTTCAACATATCAACTTATTTCGTTATGAAGCTAATTTGACATGAAGAAAATTGAATTTGAACCAAAATCGGCCAGAAATTATGGGTCAACCCAATACTTCCGGTTTTCGATGTTGAAAATTGTGTTGCACTTCGTAGTCTTCTTGGCGTATACGTGCTTTGTGAATTCGATGCAATTTCGCCCTTCATTGATCGCGCTAAATCAAAAATTAAAAAATTCCAATTTTTTGGCCGCTACTGTATGTAGGTTGTTGCGCCGGTAAGTTGGTACAATGTTGAGAGCCATTGGTCAATCATTTTCCCGATATAATAAAGAGGGGTCTGCCAATGATAAAGGTTCAGCACTGCAGCAGTCTCTTAACCGTGGATCGGTGCGCAGTGTTTTAAAGGTTCTTAACAATTTCATTTGATCTCTTGTTTAATATTCAACCGAATACCGTTTCTGGGGCTATTGGGCGCAACAATCTACAACTAGAAAAATGTGGAAAGTGCTTTATAAAGGTCCTATCAAAAGAATCCAGATCGATTTAGGAGGCAATCAACCAGGTGTGTTGGCATTTGAGAAGAATCTCTGAAGAGCTGCCACACTCAAACGCTTTTCAAAAGGTACGTATTATATATTCTGACGTAGTGTTTGCTCACTATTGCTATGGGATACATAGATGTAGACGGCAGAGCCGTAAAAAGTTCTTGGAGCTTTAGAATGGCTTCGGACAAAAACCGACAGTGGCGCCGAAAACTGAGAAGGACGTGAGTGCGGAAAAACGCCGACGGAAATTGAAAGCGAAAGAACGTCAGGCGACCATGCTACTCGGCATTATTTTGTCTGCCTTCATACTGTCATGGCTTCCATTCTTTGTGAGTTCATTTAGTTACCTCTTCGTTCTAGACCAGGAAAGCCCATAAGCCGGTTTGTGATCATGGCAAACTCCATGCAGTCAGCCATTGATAAGCGCCGTTCGCGCTAGGTGCGGCCATGCATCGAAAAATTTGGCCCATACGACGTGATTGTGAATGTGATCCCTTCCCATTCCTTTTCCCACAAATTCCTACGGTCCCATTCCTCTCACGTCCTCCACCCTTGATCGATGGCGTTGTTGTTGAAAAGTTGATCCCGGTTCGCCCAGACGCGCTTCCATCTCCGCCCTCTAAATACCGAAGTTGCATTGAGGGACTGCGAAGGCTGAACCACATGAACTGCTGAAACTGCAAACTTCACGTTATTTCCTAAACTTTCGCTGCTCCTACACTGTTCCCGCTTTCCGTAATTACGCATGCGACTCTTTAAATAATTCGAATATAATTGAGATTCGAGGTTTTCGGAATGTCGAATTTATGAGAAATTCTCGTGCGTGATCCGGGGCTGAACGCCCTTACCCGCTGTTTTCGGTCGAAACCCGAAGAAACCTGTAAAGCGCTACGCGCGAGCGCTATTTTTAATCTCTCTCTCCACCAACTAACAATAAGTAGTGACCCATCATGTTATAACATGATAAATGTATTAGCCATGTGAACACTTGAAAGAAGCATGCTAGCGATCCCGAAAATTACCAAAAAAAGATTTCTGTTTTATCTATGACTTTCAAACTTTTCAGGTGATGTATGTAATTGGAGCATTTGGATACGAAGCGCCAGCTGTTGTATTCAAATTTTTCTTCTGGCTGGGATACTGTAAGTCATACTGACTGATTGCAGCTCATATCTATCAAAACTTGAAGGAAATAGCACTGCATTTTCAGGTAACTCTGGTATCAATCCTGTTATCTACACTGTCTTCAACAGAGAATTCAAGCGAGGTCTATGTCGCCAACTGCAGAAATTTGAACGATATCTGCGATCTTTCACGGATTTCTATAAATAGTCACGATAGATTTATCCGAATCTTAAAGTAAACAGAACTGCCGTAGACCAATGTGCTGCCGCAAACACCAACCAGGAAATGCTTTAGAACTTCCCATGGAACTTTGAAAAAAGACCTATGATAGAGTCTTGGACGCTGATTACAAATATGGACACTAAAACTGCTACGTGAACTTCCTAAGAAAGTTACGAGCCTTCAAAGTTGGCAAAAAACGTTACTGAGGCGAGCTCACCTGGTGGAAATCACGGTTGCTTTTTGTCTGGTTTCTTGTTCTATAAGGGTTAATGGGTGCCCTGATTACGAATTTGAGACTCGTTTTTGGCGCAGAGCCACGGCGACTGTGATTCCATCAGGTAAGCTCGCCTCAGTAACGTTTTTTGCCAACTTTGAAGGCTCATAACTTTCTTAGGAAGTTCACGTAGCAGTTTTAGTGTCCATATTTGTAATCAGCGTTCAAGACTCTATCGATGCATCTAGGTCTCCTTCCAAAGTTCCATGGGAAGTTCAAAGCATTTCCTGGTAAGATCGAGCGCTAAGATGCACAAAGAGCGGCAGGCCTACGAAGATGCGGCCGCTCAACCGCGTGCTCAATTTCCACGCTTTGCGGCCATGCATTTATCTACATATCAGCGCACCCGTACTAAAAACTTGCACCTGCGTAACATTAGTGCATTATTTGCGTACTTACCACATTCTGTTCATACATTCTGGCAAGAAAATTTATTAAACTAGTTACTCTATAATATGAAAAAATCTCTAATATTACTCGTATTGATCAAGCATGGGTAATAAGTTGACTGTGTTTGTGCCATCATTTGATTCCATGCAACTTTGGTGCTTTACTATTATGGCATTGTATACGCTACAGAAATAAACGAATTTGACTCGATACTGAATCACGAATTATCTACAGCGGACATTGAGCTGAGCATTCCAAGCTCTTTCAAAAATAACATTGCGACTTTCTAGAATTACTAGTACACGTGTAATTAATTTTCTGCTAAAGATTGCAACTTCTTTGTGAAAACCAGCAATGAAGCGGTGTCGATCACATATTCAGCTGTGACATTGAGGCATTTTTCTTGTTCCTCCTCATTTTTCGATATTTACGGAAGAAAGCCCTGACGTGTCGGCTGTCCAAGTGACACCGAATCGGATGTGCTGGATTGGCCCTGAAAAAAACAGGCAAGTAAGGTTGTGACCTCTTGAATGATTTATAATCTGGGGAAAAAACTAATGTGCCGCAGTAACGCAGCAGTAACGACATTACCTAACTATTAATTTGCAACGCAGGTTTCCTCCGCATATCGGTGGCGGCTGCGACAGTTCTTGTATACTTTAGCTTGCGCGTTAGCGGCAATAAACACTTATACAATAATCCTTACATGTCAACCTGTTACAGCACAAGTAACAGTTCTACCGCTCGAAGCTGCAGTGATTACCCCAGGGCTAAATGATGGCCAACACGGATTTATATTTGGGGACATCACACGACGGGGCGTTCACATATAGCTGTGATTTGAAGTCGTAGGTGTGGTGCCTACCAGGAAAATGGTTAAAGGAAGCGATTACGATAAGGAATTTTTGCATCGGGGGAGAACCTGCGCCACACGGAGCAATTACTTGGCTGCCAAGGAAGCGATGTGTGGCGCTTCCACGGCGAAAGGTGCTGTGGTTGCTGAGCAGGACCTCCGCAGCACTCCGCCCCAGCAGCGTTACGCCCACAAGTTTACTTGTTGATTTGGACGAGCTGCGTGACCAGCAGCGGCGCAAATGGAGTATCTCGATCAAAGGACGAATTCACGATTGGAATGAAATTCGAAGAAGGAGTAATTAACCTGGTTGAGGGACCCGCGGACTTCCTGAGGGTGCGGACTGACACAAAACTGGCACCGAATGGAGGTTACCTCTGCGACCTCATAAGGGCTCAATCTTGGCGCGCGGGTCAGATCACTCGCCGCAGGTCTATACGTGGCGAGTATAGACCTCCGGCGAGTGATCAGATGATCGGTAGGCGTGCACTGACCCTATACGTGGATAGCAGAGAGAGCGTAGTGTTGAAGAGGGCACAGCGATGAGAGTCGCATCAATGCTCAAATCAACGGGCAAGGAAGGGGTCCCATTTCTCGGGTTCTGGGCCGTTTCTCATGGTTCTTCCTTCTTTCGTGTACCACTCACCATCCCTAGGTTAAAGGAATCTTCCACGGACCATGGACCAGTGGGCGGGACCGGAAGTGGTTTTGCGACGAAATGCATGGTAGGTACGGATCCACGTTCATGGGAAGGTTTGAAGTGAATCCTGTTCACGTTCGTGCGTTCGACACGTGGATCCGTACCTACCATGCATTTCGTCACAAAAACTTCCGGTCCCGCCCACTGGTCCATGGTCCGTGGAAGATTCCTTTAAGTTTTTGAATAATTTGCGAAGATTTATGTTGTTAGCGTGTTGTCATTCGTCTTCAACCTGGGTTATTTTTACGATTTTAATCGAGTGGTTCCAATTAAAATTACGTAAAATGCAGGAAAACTCGATTTCAGTGACGCCCGCTTTCTTAGCTGTTACCGGTCAGGCAGTATGAACACAAATGGCGTAATAAGATTTCTTGGAGAAGCGTCCCGCCTTGTGTTGCTTGTTGGAATCTTCCTGCTTTTCGCTGCTAGGTTACCATTGAAACACCACCACTGTCCCACAAACCCTTCGTTGAATTTATCAACCTCAAAAGCTACTATTGATTGCGTCTATACGGCAACCCCGAATGGTTCAAGTATTGGTCGTGTAGCTTCGTATCGATGGAAATGAAAGTGGCGATACCGTTCGGCTTGGAATATTATTGAATAGCGAAGCAACTTCTCTCGCCGGCTATCAAATGCGGAGGGCCCGTTCCGGTCGAGTTCGCCTAGGACTTGCTTGGCGCGCCTCACCGTATCGTAGAACGGACCAACAGGACAAGACTGTCTTTAGATTATACCTCAGAGTAATAGATTGGTTCGAGCTGACGAGCTCATCTGCGGGATTGCTTTGTCTGAAGAAAGCCTCTATGTATTCCTTTATCCCGTACTTCTTTGATTTTTTTGAGGCCAGTCAGCAGATCGACGTAATCTTCATACTTACATGGGACCTCCTTCTGAGTATTGGAACACCTGTCATCGATGTTGAGATTGCTCGCGATCTCTCGAATGGCGATAAGTGCATAGTGGATGCCTAAACACATTAAATCATCTTTGATGCAAATATAATAGTATACACATTACCTACGTAAATCTAGTTATATAAATTCATGCAGTGGAAAATATGCCCAACGATTAGTTTTAATTCCGCGCACCATTCCTTATCGGCTCTGTGGTGCCAGAAGTTCGCGATTCGTCGCGAGGTATTCCTGATTGATTGTACCGCGATTTGCGGCGATTGCTGCGAATTCACGCGACGTGGGGTTGTCGCGACTTGAGCGCTATTCACGCGGCGGCATCGGCAAAATCTCGTGCAACGTGTGTGTGAGACATTTGAAACATGAATTATGTAATACAGGAGGAATCATTCTCTGCTCAATCTGAGATCAAGCGAATGTGTCGGCTGAAGATTATTGTTTAATTTGAATTGTGGAGAACAGCTATGCAATTGAGTTGATCTGGGCAACTTGTTGGTTTCGATGGTTCGCTAGTAGTCTTGTAGACTGCCGACTGCATATCGCCACGGGACTCTGATCGACAGTTCCTTAGCCTATGACCTACAAAACAAGTATTACCATTTCGATTTCTAGGCAAAGATTTTCAATCCACTTAATTTTTTCTTGTATGTAAACGGCTAATCTCATCCAGTAAGGGGGCATCAAGTGGCTGCCCTCACCCCCCACCCCCCTAGACTGCCTACACTCCCCCTGGCGCACAGGTTTCTCGAAGTACGGGACCCCGTGAGCCAGGGGGAGTGAAGGCAGTCTAGGGGGTGGGGGGTGAGGGCAGCCACTTGACGTTGCATCACAATGCCCCCCTTACTGGATGAGACCCCTTGTACCTTCACAAACATGCCTATCAATTGTTTGCGTACCGAAGATTATCTGCTTCGCGACTGAGACGGGATAATACGAGTGTCAGAGAAGACGCGCTTCATCTGTCCATCACGGCATAGAAATTTGTTACTTTGATTTGTGCCGTACCTCCCTAGCCGCCGTTGTCGACACAGGATCAATGGTAACGTATTCGACTCGAGAATTGACTGACGTCGAACTCGATGAAGAATTCACTACAGCAGGTAGTGCAACATCACAATAGTTCAAGGTTTGACGTGAACTTGTACTTTCTGAAAAAAAAACTCAATTTATAGAAAAGCTTAGCCTGGGAGAAAGGCATTAATAACAAGTCCGTCAATTCAGAGAGTGAGCAAGATAAGGGCAGCGACTATAATGTGTTCTATAGGGGTCTACGGAGGATGTGGGGGGTGTTCAGTGGTATGTCAATGGCAAAAAACGAGAAATCGGTCAAGAAATCGCGAAAAGGGACCCCCTCGTTGCCCAAGGACGGACAGCGGTCAGCAACACGTCTGGTGGCACCACGCTAATCTATGCTCCAGTCGAGTTGCTCCAGCTGTGCGCTGCACACCCGTCCAAATCACCAACTAAACTAGTGGGCGGATCGCTTTTGGGGCGGAGTGCTTTCGAAGTCCTGCTCAGCAACCAGCGCACCTTTCGTCGTGAAAGCGCCACATCTCGCTTCCTGGCAGCCAAGTAACTGCTTCGTGTTACGCATATACTCCCCAATTCTTCCCTTCTTATCGTGCTCGCTCGCCAAAAAGTGAGCCCCGTTTTGCGTTTTCTTGACAGATTTCTCTGCTTTTTTTTCATAAGTGGCGTACCACTGAGCACCACCACGTCTCCTCTAAACCCTTGTTGAACTATAGCAATCGCTGCCTTTAAAGGCAAAGTTCGGGCTCAGACCCACCTAAGAAGCCCTTACCATGGCTAGAAGTGCTGGGTACGCAAGTGCAAAGGTAGCGCCACCTTTCTACATCGAAACGCGTCACTAGGACCCTAGGCGCCATGGACTTCTAACAGACTCCACCAAACTTAACATGGTCCGCCCACCGTTCGATATCTTGTCTGCGTCGCCACGTTGATCTGCTATGCTCTCTTCTCGGACTTCTCTACCACTCTCCGCGCTCACATTATCTCTCATCTCCCTGCCTGTCTTTTGAACTTCTCCACAGCATGGAGCAAAATGCTCGTATTTCCGGGATACCCCAGGAGGCCCGTCGCGCGGCAAGAAGGCCGAGTCAGCGGACGAGTCGCGCGCGTATTAGGGATTTCGCGTCAAGTTGAATAGAGTGTCCCATTGCACGTCCCACGTCGGGTATCTTATACGAAGTACTAGAGAGCAGTTCTTTGGGCTATCGAACACTACGGATAAGATAATAAGTGAACGACTCATTTCGAGCGTACTTTTGATAAGGACCGGTGGATGTCCTACATTCCACACTACCTGCCCACATCCCATCCACTTTTCTGCACAGGTGATCCACCCTGGAGCTCCTGCACCCTTAGCCCTTTGCGGAGGTGTCCTTTCTCCTGGTCCAGGACCGTTCCCTTGGGTCATGGCAGGCGGAAATGTGAAAACGTTTCAGGGTTTCTCACCCATTACACCAATATTTATCAGAAGTCTACTTTAAATGAGTCGATTACGTGTCGTGAGCCCTCTAATCCCTTATCTTGAGTATTGGAGAAAAAATGGAGTGGCCCCCCCCGAACTGGAGTTTCACCGAAGGTTCTCACCAGTAAGATAAAACCAATCTGACACGCAAATCTACAGCTAGGGTGAAGATCGATCGCACGGAAACCCTCGTACAGGGGGGGCGTACCGTGTCGGGCTGTGTCCATGGGGAGGTCATACCTCATTGCAGGTCGTCAGTAACAGCAGTTGGTATCGTGGTGCAGATAGGTAAGAGGGTATAGCGCAGCAGAAAATGAAAATATCTGAAAAAATGATATTAAATTTTCTTTGCAGGTTCAGTCGCTCCATTCCTCCACCTTCATGAGAAGGGCGTATTTGAAGGCAGTACAAAGAATGAAAGTGCATCCCCGCAAAGAAGACTGCCACATGTGCGCACGCGCTGCAAAGGCACCTCCTCTGCCTATCGCTCGCTCCTTCTCCCTTAATGCTGAGAATGACACACTGTTGTTAGGGACCCTGTTCGCAAGCCGTGAAGGAAAAGCCCTGGGCAAATGAAGTTGTTCTTCAGGTTGTAGGAGTTACGAAATGCGTTTACTACAATGCAGCTTCTGTCAACTGGTCATGATCATATGACACCTTCGAATCGATTCTGCAACTTCGAGTGAGGTCGGATGCATGGCCTATACTCAGACAAAATTCGATGATGACGATTGCCCTTTTCCTATGCTTATGTTGGGAGGATGTTTTCTAGACCCATTTCAAGCGTTGCCAACAATTACACTTGCAATGGTGAAGAAGGGAGCGGATTTTCAGGTTGGCCGGATCCGTCCTCGATACATACTCGACGCAGATATCTTCTCAACTAGGAAATGTAGAAGAAAGCTAAGAAGACCATCAGAAAGCGCAAACCTTCCGCTTTCCAAAACTATCTTCACTTTTTCAGGATCTCACGTTTTAAGAGAGATATTGCTCTTGAAGTGGCAAAAACTCGCGTGAAAATTTCAGCGTCCTCGACGTTTACTCGACGAAATTTGAGAGACCCTATCTTTCTGCATGGAAGACTTTCAGAGCAATTTCAATACTTCTTGGAAACGCGAAATCCAGCTCTATCTAACCCTACCTCAAACTGCTTCAAAGGTTATGAAATGGAGGAATGCAACCTTTTCATCGAGGGTGTAGATTTCGACGGTTTTTTTTTCGGGATTTCAGCAAATCTGACCCAGTGACAATCGCGCCGCAGCTGCCGTTGAATCGGCCGTTGACTGATACACTCGGCTGTTTCGATATACTCAAGCAGGAATTAGGATTAAATCGCAACCCCGTGCCTTCAGGATTTCTGTGCATTTCTGAACGAACCTGACTTTGAGGTCACACAAAGTTAATGCCTCTTTCCTCGAGTCGATATTTCAGTAAATACACAAAAGTGTGCAGCGATGAAAGACAGTGCATAGATGACAAGATGAAGGCCATAACATTATTTTGCAGAATTTTTTTTTGATTTATTTTGCAGGATTTATTTTGATTAATTAATTGAATTAATTTGCTCTGTTTTAGGGGGTCGTGCCAGGATCTCGATTTCGGGGGGGGGGTCGTACTTCTGCGACCACGTACTCGACACGATTTTCACCCTGGTCACAGTACAAATGACAATTTGGTCTGGGAGCGATGTTCGGTGGGACGGCCTAATAAGGAGCAATAGTCTGCCAATAAAGTCCTTCCGATTGAGATATGAAATTTCGCACTATCAAGAACGTACCCTATTTTGCCCCGTGCGGCTCGGCTCCGAGGAACATCCGGGGACAGCATAACGGTTGTGACCCAGTGAGTGAGTCCCTTTTTTGAAGTTATCGTCAAAATTCTTTGCCCGTGTTTCCCGAAACTTGTGTATAGGGGGCTAAAGCAGTTTCCTGATCGCCGAATACGACATCTCTCTTTCGGCGCCAGCGATATTTGGAGCCACAAACAGTCTTTACTTTTGTTGTTGTCGAAAAGCCAATCTCATCTCAAGGGGTTACTTATTACACTGATTCATGAAATATGACGGCACACAAGGAGATGGAGTGTAATTGTGGGAAGCATATCGGAAGCCGCCCGTCAAATATGCAAAAGCAGGAAGCGATCAGAACTTGAACCACACCACACTTGCAGCATGCCCAACTCCAGTCCGCCGCACTATCCACTAGTTCATTCGAACACCACAGGAGAGCGTGAGCCGAAAACGCTTACAAGACCATAGCACTTTCTTCAGCACATGGTTCGGACTACCGTATCATGTTGCCTGAACTTCGCGTTATATTCGATGTACGGCTAACGAGAACCTCTTGAAGATGAAGTGGCCAAAGCTATGGACGACGCACTCCACGATGGAGCAGCAAAAAAGCAGTCCCTTAAGTGATTTTTCGCTGCTCTTTTTTTTGGTGTTCATAGCGGCGTATCAGGAAAAAATGAAGCATACAGTTTTGTACTTCCATACACGTGCCCCTATATCATGCAAAAAACTGTTTTGAAAAAGCGCTCCACGTCCTGAACGACCTTCCATGTTAGCATGCTAGCATATTTATTTGGGGTTTTGCATTATTAAGCTGAAGATTGATTAATTATCAGGACTTCTTCGTATTCTCATAGCCCTCAGATATGGGAAGGGGTTATGAGGTGTACGAATTCCTCTTCAGACACTTAAAGGCAAAAGTCAGGCTCGTGTTTGGGCATTATGGCGCCTGAAATTGAGTGTAGAGATGGGAGGTGGAACGACAGTGAAGAAAAAACGCAAAGAAACCGTCGACAAGACCGAAATCGAAACCCCTTCCTTCTAGCAGTGAAGGAGGCTTGCTCGGGGGAGAGCCACGTCCAAACGAGTTTTCCGGATATGCCAGCCGTTCCATCGGTTGATACGGCAATCAACCTAGCTGATCTCACACGTTAGGCCAGCCACGCACCACATCCCGCGGTGGGCGGGACCAGCTGATGAAACGAACCCATCGCTGTAAGTAGTAGGCCAGAGGCCTTGACGGCGCGCAATCTCGAGTCAGGAGTGTGGCATCACCCCTCTGAGCGCATTCCTGGAAATATTAGTGATGGAAAGGCCTTCTATGGTCACCTAATCCTGACTCGTGGCTTTAAGTTCAGAGGTTTGCCATCCTTACCTTCAAAACAAGAGTTTCTCTTTCAAATTTCAATTCCCCTTGAAAACAATGCAGTGCAGAAAGCCTAGAACTGCAGTTATATCTGGTGGACTGTTAAAATCAAAAAATTATCAAGCAAAACTGCTTTGAAAATTTTGCTCAGTTGTGAGCGAGAGCTGGGCGCACCAAAAAGAAACGTGGTCCCATTAGCAACACACGTGTAGATTCACATTTTCATCGAAGGGTTAACGAGCCATTTTTGATCAAGATGCCTTCCCAGCGTCATGCCAGCACCTAACTACTGTTTGCCTACCAAAGCTGGCGCCGTCGCTTGCACTGTACTCAGTAACGATTCCGCCAATTGCATTAAAAAACTGTGGTAACTTTCTAAGTTGGATCATTCAGTTTGGAAATTGCGCTGGATACGATGCCGGATGCTCTCATATATATGGTATAGTGGACTCCACAAAGAGCTCGAGATGATTTTCCCTTCTTGGCCTGCGTTTTTAGTGTGCCAG